ATTAGCTTGCTATCCATGACGAATTCATGTAGGCTTTCCCCTCTCGGGTTGATGCCCGTGCTCCCCCACCCCACATGGTGGGAGTTTGCATCGCAACCCAGGAGTACCTCCAGCCCTCTCTCCTCCGCATGTTTTATCAGCTCCTTGACTTCCCTCTGTGGTGGAAGGTCTTTGGCGTCATAGGGCATGTAGACTGACCCCATCAATACATCCCTGTGGGTCCCTTCGTCCAGATTTAGCCTCACTTGTACCACCGTGATATCTCCATTACTGAACTGCGGCATAAAGATTGCATTTAGACCTTTTGTCATTATACATGTCCTTATTTTTCCTTGAGTGGTGGACGAGATAATCTTGCCACAACCGCTCAGGCCTTTTATAGCGTTGTTCAAGAGCCATGGTTCTTGTACAAGTGCTATTGCTGTCTGCATCACAGCCATGCCCCTAGCTAAAATCGCTGAGGCGCCTTTGCTGTGATGCAAGTTAATCTGCACCACTGGAACTGTGAGACCTGTCATTTTTTATGCAGACTCTTTCGTTCCAGCGGCTTCCACCTCCCTTCCGCGTTCTTTGCCGGTCAACCTTACAGTTGCAGGTGTACTACCAGCCTGTGGCGCTTCGGAAGCTCCTCAAGCGGCAGCACACGTAGCTCGTTCTCCCCTAGTTTTAAATCCGAGGATAAGCTTTTCAGCCAGTCCGCGGATTCTACATCGGCGCAACTGCAAATGATTGCCCCGTCTCTCTCCCAATCTCCGGTAAAGAGGGGAGCCCTGGTGCCTCTTGGAAGTCCCAGGATCCTTTCCCTAATCAGTTTTTTAATAACTGCTATTTCCCCGGGTTTGATCTTGTTTTCAGGGTAACCCTCAATAATGAGTGCCACCCTGACTATTCCCTTAGTCGCCTGTGCAAAAGTCCCTTGGTCACTGACCTTGGGCTTCTTGTCCAGGCGTTTTTCTGAGGGGCTGGGGGTCGCGAGATCCGGTCTGGGCGCTTTTGCGGGGCGCTTTTGCGTCCCTGATGGACCCGCCTCCCCCCGAGCTCCTATTACGCCTCCAGAGGCAGCACCCGATTCAGAGGTCTCTTCAGCCCTCTCCCTCGCCCGCTGCCTCTTCAGCTTTCTTCTCGCAGCCCCACTCATTTTCGGGCGTGGCTCTGCGAGTTTTCTTGCCACGGAATCGGACCGAGCGTCGGTACTCGATCCCACGTCGTTTCCTCCTTCTCTAGGTTCACTTCCTAAGGAAGCCACCCCCTGGAGAAGGTCGTCTATTTTTTGCTTTTTTTTTGTACTTATGTCCATTTTGTTCCCACGAGTACCGCGGTCGCGCGATCTCACCCAGGCAGAGCCGCGATTGCCCGGGGCTCGGCAGCGTACTCCCGGAGGTCGCCCGGTATCCGGGAGGCACCGTTCATGACACAGCTCCCCCTGTGCCACGCAGCCCTCAGCACGGTTGCTAACACCTTGGCTTGGGGGGTTCCTCTTAGATGACTGCGGCCGGGAAACATCCCTGAGCGGATGCCCCGACCGCAGCCACAGCCCCACCACCAACGACAAGGTGGGAACCCATGCGGGGGGTGGGTTGGATGCAACTCATTACATTATTTATTTTATCAGTAATAATACAGCAAAATGTAAATGTTATGCTTACATTGAGCAACAGCATTAGCTTTATTAATTAATAATATTCACTTTTCTTAATATGCATCCTAATAATCCCTTGTAGTCTCTACATAGATACGTTTGTATCATTGTTTATTAGAAAACTTATTTTTATTTTCTTATTTATTATTCCAAGTTCTATATTCGTTAGAATATGCTGAAATGAAATCTAGGAAAAAGTAATAACGATTTCCTTACGAGTACGAAACATATATTGTGTATGGTGTATTTGTGTGCGGAGCAAATAATAGCGGTCAATGTAACACTACACATACGCTCGCACACGCATGCACACAGCATACACAGCATTCACAGCATTCACAGCATATACGCACACGAATGCCGACACATATACACATATCAACGAATTTCGTGAAAATTTAAGTGAACTAAAATATATTAGTGCATCTGCAATATTTTTAAAGTTCTAAACCACGCAGCATTTCTAAAGTTAAGCCATGAGCGCATAAATAACACGATACATTTTGCATGCATAATGAATCTAAGATTTTTTTCAGAATACGTTATTTACACACAGGCAATATTTTAAAAAATTAGAACTATTACTATCAGACTTACAATATTATATTTGGTAATTATCGACTATAACGGAGCACACTCCAATGACCTCCACCTTGATATGTATTATCACCCATCAAACAATAAGTGACATTCAAGAAGTTTTAGCCGTCGTCCGTTCTTTGTTAAAAAATTATTAACAAAAGAAATTCCACAAATGGAATGTAATTGTCAGACACTGTATACATATTTAAGGAAACGAAACATGTAAAGGTGCCTACGCACGCACGCACCACGCACGCACGCATGCACGCACGCAACACACACACACACACACACTACTCGCCAATAAGTGTGCTCGCACGCCCTATCGGTGTGTGTGTGTGTGTGTGTGTGTGTGTGTGTTGTTGTTGTTGTTGGGCGCGCGCGCGCGCGCGTGTGGCTGTGTGAGTGTGTAGTAGGCATCTTCCTAGCTTACAAATTCGATGTTTTTGTATATACAGTGTTCAAAAATTAAACTCATTTTATGCAAATTTTTTGTTAATAATTTTTTAACAAACAATGAGCGACGGCTAAAACCTTTTGATTGTCACTCAGGACAGTGTCCTTGATAATATATATCTAGATAGAGGTCATTGGAGTTTGCTACATTATAGACGATAATTACCATATCAGTATTCCGTAGAACATATATGGATCAGAAAATCGAAAAATGTTAGCGCCAAGCTTTAATACGAATATATTACGAACATTCTGCGACATATTTATGAATCGATCTTTGATATTTACGGAGGAATTAGAACACATGATAAATGGCGAAGTAGATCTATTTCAGCATATGTTAAAGTGTACTTTGGACAGCATTTCCGGTAAGATGAAATACTCATTAGATTTTGGCTTATATGGAAGTTACTTTCTTGTGTCATAAACTTGTAATGACTTATATAAATATATAAACTGTCATGCAAAAGAGATCATAAATGATACAAGTGTATTTTATTATATTTTAATTATTTGTTATATTAAAAATAATTAACTTCACTTTTTGGTACGAAACCTTGAAGGCACTTCATTGGATACCGATTTGCAATTAAAAAAAAATGAGCAGTATCTTAATGCAATAGTAAGGTATGATTTTTTTCAGACCATAAATTCTTGCGCGTTATATTTGAAAGTAAATCTAACTTAATTTAATATTTAATTGCAGAGTGAAACAAATAATAACACGCAGACTACAAAATATGTTTTTACTTCCCGATTTTATATTTAACCTTACATACCTCAGTCGCGAACAACAGAAGAATTTAAATTTTATATATTCAGTTGCGGATGAGGTAAATATTACAAATATATTTCCTGACAATGTTATATTATTTACACGCTTCATGATCTATTACTGTGCAGGTAATACAACAAAACGCGATGGATAATTTAGTTGAGAATAAAATCCAATCCGCTAAGCCTTATAAGTCGTCAACATCCCTTTTAGATGCTTTTACATGATATTCATGCAGTTCGTGTTATAATATGTGAAAAAGGTGTGTGAAAATTGCCCGAAAAAATAATATATATTATATTTTAAAATATATAGACATACAAAGGAATATATTTAATTCAATTATCTTGAAGTTAGCCATACTATAAAGGTGTCGCAAAATATCGAAAGACTGTTCAATGCAGAAGAGCTTATTTTCGACAATCTTCGAGGAAAAATGTCGAAAAAAAATTTCGAATAAACTTTCCCGGTAAGCAAAAAATTATTAATACAACGTTACTACAATGATATTCAAGAATTTATAATATTATCAAATATGTAGAGTTTAATATTGTATCTAACATCATTATAAACATACTTTGACCGCAATTTGGAAGTTTCAATAATATGTTGAAATAGGGTTGCCATAATGTTTTAATCGTCAGAATTACTTTTAAGATGTTGCATTGATCTCAAATAAAGGTTAAAATAACATTTAAAAAATATATTTTTTGTAATGCTTTTGAAACGTTTAAATAATATTCAGGAAAATTATATCATAAAATAACATGCGAAAAATATAAATGCAATGTTATAAAAAATGTCCAAACAATGCACACAAAGTAAACGTTTCTAAATGTTAATTTAAGGTTCCTTGCTTACTGAGTTATTACTTAAATTTAATAAGTATCTGTAAATAAAACATGTTTCCAAATAAGGTGTACATTTGTTTCTTTCGTTATTTGTAAAACTGCAACCCTGAAATCATGAAATGAAATAAATTTAACTTTTAACTTTTTAATTATTTTTTTTCTTAACTTAACTTTTAATTCAATTAATTTTATTATGAGTTAACTTTATCTTAATTAAGTTAATTTTCAAAGCCATTAACTTTACCTTCACTTAGTTTAAAAAAAAAATTAACTTACCCAACCCTGATAAGATTACAGAACTAATAAACTAAGTTTCAGTTTCGTACGCAGGGTACCGATACAACCGCAATCGCATTAAATTTTATAATGTTCATGTTAGCAAATTTCCCAGATATACATGTACATATTATACGTATTGAATTATTTTCAGCATAATTTGATATTTTGTGATATAGAAACGTCAATATACAAAAAAAGTTTACTAAAATACATTTATCATTTCTGCAATATGTAGCTTCTTAGTCTACAACTTATATTTTTCATATTTCTATGATATGGTACAAAAGTTATTTGAGACAATAATTTATATTTAATGTTGTGTGTATGAAATAAATAAATACATAATATTGCAATAGCAAAAAGTATACGAAGTTGCTGGAAATTTATGGTACGCAAGATCCAAAATCCGTCGATTTCAAGGTTTGCAACATATGAATTATTTGGAATGTGTTATTAAGGAAACATTGCGACTCTTTCCATCAGTGCCTCTCATTGACGTCGACTTAATAAAGATTTACAAATAGGTTTGCTTATAAACGTAAATATATAGTGATATAATATATAAGAATTGTAATAGTGAATAATAGTGTTCCATTCGTTATGAACATTTTATCGCTCTAAACAATAAAATATGATTTTATTTAAATTACCACCAGTTGATATTTTATTATAATGATATTTTATTCACAAATAAATATGTTTCAAGAGAATATATTTTACCGAAAGGCGCTGATATTTTCATAGCAATATTAACCTTGCATCGCAATGAAAAGTATTGGCCGAAAGCGTTGACATTCGATCCAGACAGATTTCTTCCGGAGAATATGACAAATATTCACCCATATAGTTATATAGCGTTTAGTAATGATCCAAGGAACTGTATTGATAAATATACATAAGCTGAACTATAACTGTTGCAAAATATGAGATTAATCGATAAAATTATAGGTGCGAAGTACGCAATGATTTCTATGAAAATCCTCATAGCAACCCTGTTGCGGACGCACAGATTAAAAGTCGATAAAAAGGTTAAAATAGAAGAGATAAAATTGATGGCGGATTTTTTGTTTTAACGCCTGTCATCCCTTTAAAAGTCAGGATTGAAAAGAGAAAGTGAGAACCTAACAATACAATAATATATTATTAATATGCTAACGGAGGAAATGGTATTTATTATTACTATAATTAGTTGATAACATTTATAGTTTTAAGTTAATTGGTATTTTATATAGAATACTACAATATGTGAACTCAGTTAGATTGACATAAGTAGCGTGAAAGTAAATTAACATAAATGAGTTATTTTTGTTTCTTAAATTTTCGTTGCGGCGATTTGCAATTTTATATATAAATGAATATACATTAATTGTTTTAAGTGATTAATTATTTGTATTTTTCGTATAACACACATATAATTCAAATCTATTTATTATGTAATTTACCGTTGCGTAGATAAAGTTGCCGAAATTCAAGAAATATATCTTCGTTGTAGAATTAATTAAAGTAATTATTTTGCTGATAACCAGTTGTAACATTTTGGAAGGTCTTGTGATACAGGTGACAAATCTGTTAGTTCTCGAAAATATTAAACAAAGTTCATTCTCGATGTGCCAACTGAAATGACAATGAAAGAATCGCCAACATGCAATGTAGCATAGACAAGAGAATAATGTGTGTATACAGTGTGTAAAATGGTACCAACACTCATGAGGTTGTAGAATGGATTGTGGTGAACAAAAATTTAAATATTTTTAATTTCTAATAATTTTTGAAATATTAATTATAGAAAATTGCATGAAACTGATGGGATCTAATCATTTTCTGGCACTGTCTATCGTCCTCTTTTAGAAGAATATTTAATCGTTCTAATATGATAGAAAAGACTAAATATATCGTGCCGTATTCTTGGCATCTGTCATGAATAATCTTTTAGGAGAATATTTATTCGTTCGAATATGATAGAAAACATTAAGTGTATCGTGTCGTATTCTTGGAATCTGTCATGAATAAAACATTGAAAATCTGTTGTAATCATCAATGTATCAATAGTAATGATAAGATATACAAGATATACAAGATGTAAGTAAAGATAAGAGAAACAAAATTCTCTATATTATAGGTGATTATCTTTGAACACGGAATTCGCCGTATAATTACTATTGCATTATGTCATCTTTGATGGACTCGTTTGATCGATATGACTTTAAGGCCGATATTCATAGTCGGATCTTATATTTAAAACCGTCTTACGTTTATCTTCAAATGCTTTGTAGCCAATAAAATCGTCTGTACACCATCTAAAGATGAACTTAAGACGACCTTAAATATAAGATCCGACTATGAATTCCGGCCTAAGAGTTTTAGTTGCGTCATAATGAGTTGCACAAATGAGAACAGTAAAAACTTGATACATTATTAGTGTTATGTATGCAAAATAATTTTTTCTGCGAATGCATTATTTGCGTCGATGCGTACAGCTCCCGTGTCTTGAAGTCTACATTCTCATTCTCATTTCCAAGTGTGGCAGTTACTACGAGTACACTAAGTAGCAGTGAATGTGCAAGGTCTGGTGCTTCTTGCTTTATGAAAATATACATCGATATATTGGGTTTTTCAGAAATTTCAGAAATCGATTTTTTAAAAGAAGGATGACATGACTATATGTAAAATATTTTTACAGTTTCCTGAAGTATATAGATTGTCTGACGAAAATTATACGAAATTACATATGAAAATACTGCACGCCGAACTGAACAAGTGGTTATTTGCAAAATGCTAGAGCTCCTCCTGCTCAGATTGGCATATTATCGCATGTGGTTTTATACACCTAGCGTCAGACATACTTTATATAGGCCGTTTCTTTTCATAATTTGTTACAGTCATCAGTCATCAGTGTTACAGACAGTCATCAGTCATACAGTCATCAGTGTACACTGACCAACATTTCTCAGATACTGCGTCGAAATTTTGAAAACGGTAAATGTTTAAACTGTAATGTTATCTATCTATTCCATATAATAATTCTATATATACATACAAAAATTAATATAATAACTAGTGTATATATATATATATATATATATATAATAATTAATATAATAATTAATATATAATATGAAAAGAACGGGATTATGACCTGAGTGCATTGAGAATTGTATTTTATACTTATAATCACGTAGATGAGTAATTAATCACTCAACACAATGTCTAAAATCGAGACACAAAATATCTTTAAAGCGTTTTTAAAGACTTCTTACGTCCCGATTTTAGATATTGTCTTGTGTGAGTATACTTGAGCAAATCTTTTGTATTGATATTTCTGTTTTTACTTTCTCTATTAGAACATCCAAACAATGTAGATAGCGTAACAAATTTACATGAAACGGTACATTTTTACTCAAAATTTTCTCATTACAGAGTTATCATTTGTTGAACGCATAAAAACGAATTATATCGCTCTGGTTACATTGTCATCTAACAGTTTACGAACATAATGATGCTTACAAGTATAGCTTTGATCTTAATATGTGTTGGTATAATTCACTTAATCCCAAATTATCGTAAGCGGTTACGATTCATTCAAACGGCAAATGCACTACCAGGTCCAAAAACAAAACCAATTATTGGAAATGCCCACTACTTTCTCCAGTGAAATTTTAACGGTAATATTGTCATTTATATATTTGTCAACATTACAGGATAATAAAATTTTTGCAAAAATAAAAGTAAAATTTAATAAAATTATAGTAGTGTTCAAAATGTTATTCAAATCATTAAGTGCAGTAAACTCAATTTACTATGAAACCATTCAAGTATGATAACTCTCTTAAAAGAAAGTAATTAAAAACTTCGCAAAAAAGTAAACCAATATTATTTCAGAGTAAAATTGTTTGACGTTTATTTGTTAAAAAATATAATATTATTAAATATAGACAATTGCTTAACAGTAACATATTTCTGAAGTATAAAAAATTTCAGAACTGTTGGATAGTTTATGTTTGCTTGGTCGAACCATTTAAATTTTGCATATTCTGCTGCGGAAAAGGTAAATATCACAAATACATTTTCTGATGGTGTTACATGATTTGCACGCTACATAATTTATTATTATGCAGATAATACAACAAAAGAAAAACGAGAAAGTTAATTTAGATAAAAATAAAAGCCAATCCACCAAACCTTGTAAGTTGTCAACATCTCTTTTATTGTATATACTTTTACGTGAATTATTTATGCAACTAATATTGATATGAATACGATGTGTGAAAATTGCACGAAAAAATACTATATATTATATTTTAAAATAAATAGGCATATACAAAGGAATACTTTCTTCCTTTTATTAATTTTCAACGCGTCATTCAGACAGACGCAACTTCATTCATTGAATGTGCACACAGATATGTGATATATTTTAATTATTAAAAAGATGAATAAATAAGTACACGTAAAATCTAATTCTCGTGATGAATTGACCAAATTTATTTTTTAGAAATGTATTTTGTTTATTTTTTGCTCAAATAAAAGAATAGCAAGAAGGAGATTTGCTGATATACTAATGGAAACATCTGACGAAGGCAAGAAATTCACACGGAAAGAAATTATCGATGAAATCGTTACGATAATTACTGCCGTACGTATTATGACGCCTTTTGAGACAAGTATTGTCTGTAATGTATTAATAAAATTATAGAATTTATAGACCAAATTTTTGTTACGTACGCAGGGTACCGACACAACCGCAATCACATTAAATTTTATGATGTTTATGTTAGCAAATTTCCCAGAAATACAAGTACGTATTAGACATATTGCATTATATTGTGCATAATTTGATATTTTGTGATATAAAAACGTTAATATCCAAGAAAAGTTGTTAAAATACATTTATCATATCTTTAATATGTAGCTTCTTAGTCTAGATGTTCTTATGTTTTTCACATTTATATGATGTCATACAAAGTAAGCAAATTGAGCGCAAACTGCGCGCAGATTGGCAGCAAATTTGATCAAAAACCCATAACAAAACCATAGCCATCTGTGTCTACATTAGGTTACGGATTTGGCGACAGATCTTGCTGTCGGGCAATTAATGCCAAATGTGCAGCAAAAACCGCGCAAAGCTTGCAATGCAGTAAGGTCTGCACGGTTTCTGCCGCCAATCTGCCGTCAAATCGCTACAAGCTCTGCACGGTTTTTACTGCAAATCTGCAGCAGTTTTCCGAGAACAAGCTGTGCCGCATATCTGGCGGCAATTTGGCAGCAAAATTTGATACAACAGATCCTGCATCAAATTTGTTATCTATTTGCAATCAAAAGTTGATAGCAAGCTCTGCTCGAAATCTGTTCGCGCACGTTTGGCTGGGAAGTTATTTGGGATGATAATTTATATTTAATGTTCTGTGTATGAAATAAATAAATACATAATTTTGCAATAGCAAAAAGTATACGAGGAATTGCTAGAAATTTATGGTACGCAAAATCCAAAATCCGCGCCCGTCAATTTCGAGGATTTGCAACATATGAATTATTTGGTGTGTGTTATTAAGGAAACATTGAGAATCTTCCCCGTCGCGCCTCTCATAGGACGTCAACTTAATGAAGATTTACTAGAAAATAGGTTTGCTTATAAACAAAATTATATGGTGAAGCAATATATAAGAATTATAGTAAGTACTAGTTTTCCATTCGTTATGAATATTTTATTGCTCTGGACAATAAAATATAATTTTATTTAAATTACTTTCATTTGATGTTTTATTATAATATTTTATTTACAGATGAATATGTTTCAGGAAAATATACTTTACCAAAAGGCGTTGATGTCTTAATAACAACAATAAACTTGCATCGCAATGAAAAGTATTGGCCGAAAGCGTTGACATTCGATCCAGATAGATTTCTTCCGGAAAACATAGCAAATATTCATCCATGTAGTTATATACCGTTTAGTAATGGTCCAAGGAACTGTATTGGTAGATATACATAAGTTGAACTATAACTGTTGCAAAATATGAGATTAATCGATAAAATTATAGGTGCAAAGTACGCAATGATTTCTATGAAAATCCTCATAGCAACCCTGTTGCGGACATACATATTAAAAGTCGATAAGGAGGTTAAAATAGAAGAGATAAAATTGATGGCGAATTTGTTGTTAACGCCTGTCATCCCTTTAAAAGTCAGGATTGAAAAGAGGAAGTGAGAACATAACAATACAATAATATACTAATAATATACTAACGGAGAAAATGGAATTATTACTATAATTAGTTGATAACATTTATTATCATTTATATTCACTTTTAACTTATTGATATTCACTTTTCATTCATTTATATTCACTTTTAACTTATTAATATTTTTCATTGTTCATTTTTCATTTATTCAGTCATTTATATTCACTTTTAACTTATTGATATTTTTTACATACCCAGATAGCCAAACCTATGCGGGCAGATTTTACGCAGAGTCTGTCAACAGTGTCTGTTGACAGAATGGCAACAGACTGCACACAGAAACTGTTTTAGCAGTCTCTGACGACAGATTGGTGACAGACTGCGCGCAAAGCCTGTCGACAGACTCTGACGTCAGACTGACGGCAGATTGCGCGCAGATACTGTTTCCTAGATAGGCTATTTAATTCTATCAAAGGCCATATGTACGTTATTAAATGGGACAGTTTTACATATACACCATGTAAAACTGC